CAGCATTGCCATCCTCTGCCCTTCACCTCCCCGGTACTTGAGATGCCCAACKTTGCAGGGCCAAAGCTGGGAGCACGCAATGGTGTTACTCGATAGCCCCTCTTCACGCTAATTTTAGGTGATGGAACTTTTTGTGCTTTTAAAAAGTTRCTTTATTTATTTTKGAGAARCCTCTTGTACTTATTGGCTATCAGYTTTTCCATCTGATATTTTGAACTTACCCACAGTAAGCTCTGAGAGTCACAAGAAACCAGCACCTGGCATGATCTCAAAGGAACAATCACCTCTTTATTGTGTAAACTGGAATGAGTAACATGATGCACCCAACATGCAAATGATTTCAGATGGAAACAAATTACACATCGGTAAGTAACGCATTTCTTTTTGTTCTTTTTAGTTAATATTGAGCGCTGATTTTTCAGTGGTAGACTGTTGTTCTATCACTCAGTTGTTTGCTTTGGGCCATGTCCTTGCTGTATCTGCTTTAGACAACTATGGCACAATCCCCRTGGGATTCAGGAGATCCTGTCAGGACACCCTAGATCTAGACTAGACATCTCTCCAAAGATAAAGGGTGGGGTTTGAGCATTCAAGATACAGCCTGGGTCTCATCCTCACACTATTACATGACAGTGAGGATGATGACTGAGCACCAGGATGGGAGTCAGGACCAATGCCTGGAGCTGCTGTTTTATGTCCCCAGAGGAGGTGGGCAAGGTAGGAACCAGCCAAGGTGCTCACAGCAACCAGTCAGTCACCCCACCACCTTGGGGACAACCCACCTACCCAACCAAGCATCTCCTTGAATAATTACACTTGCAGTTTGCTGCTTTCATGCCTTAAAGTGCTCCCTTGGATAAATCCCAATGATGCCTTCCCCTTACTTTCCCTCAACCTTTCCCCATACATCTCACCATTCTCACAAGTCCCAAAGCCCATGAMACTTTTTTCTATTTATTCAATGCCTGCCTTTAGCATTTCCAAACCACTATTTCTGAAAGTTATCAGGAAGAGATGAAACACCTTTCTGAAAATTTGTCATCTAAATCAAATCATTCCTCTGCAACCAAAACCTTCAGGGGACTCAATGCAAAATCCCAGAGAAGTCACCCATGCTCTGTCTCATCATCAGGATCCTTGAAATGGGTCCATTTTAAAGTAAATCCTAGCTCTAACTGCATTTCTGTCAATGTGAGAGCCATTCTTTAACTGGTTACAAATAGCTATATAGATATACATATATATATATATATATGCACACATATATGCACCATCAGGGTAAGTATCTTGAGCTGGCAAGGAGTTACCAACAGAACAAYCTCAGAAGCTTGTTCAGCAGCATATCAGCTGCCACCTCAGTATTTATAGCCACCCTGCTCTTTGAGCTTGTTTATTTTCCTTCCCAAAGGTGGTGGTGGCAGGAGGCAAAGCTCTGACATTCAGGCTCAGGTGTCCCCAAGGCTGACCTTTCCTTCAACGAGCAGAAGCTGCAGACACATTTCAAGGAACAAAGTCATTTAAAAACTCTTGACTCKTGTGCCCATTACCTCACTGAAGGCYCAGTGCAGAGCTRCGAGCAAGGGTTGAGCAGAGATCTGTTAATTAGCATGCACACATGTACATTAGGATGGATGTGAAAATGAGCTATAATTATTATATACCTGGAAAGAGAACCAGATGAAGTCCAGCCCTTGGTCTCAAGGCAGAATAAGGACTATATAAAGACATAAATAATGGAAAACTCAAGTCTATTTTGAGKGTTAAGTTTCCTCCGAGTATAAATAATGCCATTTTATGGCATTCCAATGACCATGGACCATGTTTTTCAATCCCATCTTGCATCATTTAAAGAATCATCTGGTAAATCCTGTTGGGAAAAAAAAAAAAAAAAAGCAGCCCTGAATCCTGCCTCAGAAAGACGAGCAGCACATTTCAGTACCACTGGATGTATTTCAGAGCAGATACTGCCAAAAGGATATTCCTCTTCTCCATGATCTAGACAAGACAGGTAAAGAAGGAAGTGAACAAAGTGTACCTCAAGGTATGCCCCAAGTTCAGAGCACTGAGAGCCCACATCAGGGTTCCAGCCCCGCTCTTTGCCAGTGGGATGGCAATTTGGGTTAGCATGGCAGCACAGGGGATGCAGGTAACCAGCAGATACAGGGGACCAGGAAAGCATCACTTTTCTCCACCAGGCTTCAAGGGTAAGCCTAATCCTTCAAGAAAGACTCACTCAGTGTGACAATTTGYCCTTATCAGGCTCAAAATGCAGCAGTCTCAGGAGAAGATAGAGCTACRGTCTCATAGCAAAAGGCTCTGAGATGCAGTGCAGCAAAAAACACAGTGCTGTGAAAAATGAACAGAGGGAGGACATGGAGTAGACAGCTACTGGCTGACACCAGAGCAGCACCAGCCTGCTCTCCTTCACTCACAAAAGCAGCCAMAAGTCCCTACAGTCTCCTGCTGAGGGAAGGTATGAGCCTCCATCCCTTCATCCCCTCTCTTAGCACATCCAGCACATCTGGGCTGTAGYATCCCTTTTTTCCTTTTTGGGGAGGTTTCAACGATTCTGGTAACTCCAGTGCCACTCCCACCAGCATGTGCACACCATGTTCCGTTGGGAGGAGAAACAGCACACCATAAAGTTAATTTAACAGTGCAARCATTTCCCCTGGCAGATGTAATACCTCATAAAGAGCTGCACACACGTGCTCCAAGCCCATTCTTTCCCTGGTCCCTGACCACCACTAGAGAGCTCTGGTCTCCCATAACCTGCTCACTTCTCTGCTGTGATCAGAACGTGAATTACYGCAGTTGTTTATAGAAACCACATCTAGGTCCCTGTGGGCTTTAAGTGGAGAAAATATACTCTGCAAATTAACTCTCCTTAGAGAAGGATCTCACACAAACAGCCTTTGGGGCCTTCTCTGCCCTCTCCAAACTGGCAGGGCACCAGATTAGTAACTGGAGAAGTTCTCAGCCATCATTTCCACCAGCCAGCTACAGACAGAACCATGCTGAAAATTGGTGCACCCAGCTCACAAACATGCCAAGGCCAAACATTGCTGTTTGCACCTCAGGCCAGGACATCTCTACACACCCCACCCTGCTCCTCCAGCCTCACCTGAAACTCCCAGCACAGCAGAGGAAAGGCTGAAGGGAGGAAAATGAAGCCAGATGGTCTTCATGCTCTCAGTGCTTTGAAGAACACAAGACTCTTGAATTCYTACCTCCTGGAGATACAGCAGAGAATGGAGAGAACAAGGGTACCAGCCAGCAGAAATATAAAATCAAGAAGTGATATCAGAATAATGTTCGTCCTTACCTAACTTTGTTAAAGCACTAGGATAGCAGAAACTCTTCATTGCCTCTACACCATGAAAGGGCTATTACTTGGAAGGACACCCCCATAAAAAGGTTTTCCATAAAAAGGTAGATAGTTCCAGATAGAGTCATCAGCTCATTAGTGTGCTGGGTTTCAGGACAGACA